ATGATTAGCTGTTCCTCCTCGTTGAGATGTGGCCCCAAACACTACCGAATAGGTAAAAATAGATAAATGAATATACTTTCAGAGAGCCAGAGAGGAAACATAGGTGACATCCATTTGCCATAGTTGATTAGAGACCAAACCACGGGGATTAACTTCTGTGTCCCCAGAGCGGGTGCCCCAGAACATTTGGAACAAGATGAAACAATCTGCTTGGCCTGGTCAATTGGAATATGGCAAGCTTGTGCCAGCCTCCTGGCTTTCTGATGGAAGAAAGAATGACTGAAGAATGGATCTGAAAAGAGATTAGGTAAAACTTGGACAGCAGCATCTGCTTGACTGTTACCTTCAGAAAGAAGTCCAGGGAGAGGCGAATGACTACGTATATGAGAAACAAAATATAAATATTTTCGGTCTTGTAATAATTGCTGCAAAGTTAAAAACAAAAGCCGTGAGATTAGAATCAATCCTGGGTGTGATGTAAGAACCTGGAAGATTTAAAATAAGTTGACACACATAATGAGAGTCACAAATTAAATTAAATGGTTGTTGAGAAAAGATTTAGAAAGCTAAAATAGCAGCAAACAATTCTAAGTGTTGCAAGAACATCTGTATTGCAGAGTAGGAAACTATCGTAAGAGTCTTTATAAGCAATCGCTCCTCTCGTTCACCCTCCATGTGAAAAAACACCGTAACAGCTTGCGAAAGCAGAGAAACGAAAACAATAGGCAAATAGGGAAAAGAAAAGTCATTAAATACGGAAGCCAAGGATCTTTAGGCAAATGATATGAAATACAGCCCACGTAGTCAGTTAAAGCACACTGAAGAGATAAATTATTCTGAAAATAAGGTTGAAAACAAATTTTGGAATAGGAAAAATAATATTAATTAAGTCAGTCCAATTTCTTTCTTTTTATTTTTTTTATTTTATCCATTTCATATATACATTCACAATTATATGATCTCATAACTGTTATTAATAATATGTATTTATAACAATTTTTCCCTACAGTT